GAAGAGTGAGAGGGACCCAGAGGGGCCAGAGGGGGCTTGAGGGTTGCACTCCCACCTGCAGGACTGCAGAGAGGTGAGATGCCAAGCTGCTTTTCTGGCTGTGGCTCTAAACCATGCACTGCTTTTCCTTCCTCTGCTCCAGCTCAGACATACAGAAGTTCTGTCCCACAGCAACGGCTCTTTCACCAATACTTTAAAAAAAAAATCACCTGGAAGTGTGAGGAAAACTGTGCTTCAAAAGATTTATTACATATATTTGTACATATTTTACATGAATGGAATGTTAAACATCCAACCTAAAAATCAATAAAAAAATATTTTCATTCGTGATTATGTACTGGCAAACCACTGAAAAGAGTACCTTAGAACAACTTAAGTCAACTTGCAATCATACTGCTCAATTAAAAAAAAAAAAAACAAAACAACAAAACAAACAAATATATTTTACATTTACATTAGACATTGCAAATTACATTCCAATTTCTTCTCCGGGTAATGAAGGAAGGTATCTTGTCCATTACCACTGCACATACAGGTGGCATTTCAGAAGCAAGCATGGACTTCCCTCTAACTCACCATGGGCAAGGTTAGCTCTGTAGGAAGAGGCATACAAAAAAAAGGGAGTACACACTCTGCTCCCTCCCAGCAGGTATCTGCCAAACGGTGGGAAGAGCCAGAATGAGATTTGTAATCAAGGGATAAAGGTTAACACTGGATCACCACTCATTCAGTGCCACACTGCAGCTCTTAAAATTTGTTACAAGTAGTTTTTATGTAGTTCACTAAAGCATCCCCTCTACAGCTAAGCCACCTCCCTTCTTCCTTGAAAGTTATAGTGCTTTGGCAATATCAGCTAGGGGAGAATTCTTCACTGTATGGTAACAAATATTCCAGCTTCATCTTAATATATACAAGAGCATAGAATCAAGCTTTGATGTCTCTTTCTCTTAGAACTTCACACCTTGAGAGCTTGTGACCAGTCGTGTTGAGAAGTGTTTACTATGAAATATAATATATCAGCATTAAAAGGGACAGATTTGAAAGAAAACAAGAGGAACGGGATTCAGCAACAGATTATGTTCTTGCAACATCGGGTTACTTACACTTGAAACTCTGCCAAAATCGAGCAAATCCTATTTATTGTTGCAAAATCTTTGCCAAAGCACACCCAAGGGCAAAAGTCTCTCAAACAAACACACATAGATTAAAAGCTGCCAGAAAGATCAGTGAGTGGGCTGGCTGCCTTCTACTTCTTTATACTGGCAACTTATTAAATCCAAGACAGAACCAAGTCCAGCCTTTTTCAGGTGCAGGATATTCTTATGGTGCAGGATATTCCTTTTTCAGGTGCAGGTTACTCCTATGGCGGTTTACCTGAGCAAGTCTTCAACAACTAATAATGCCCCACAGTGAGCACATTTTACAGCTTATCCCATCATCAGCTCCGATGTACTAATTGAGACATGACTTTACAGAACACAAGCAGCTTGGAAAGCCAGCCTATAATTGTGGAGTAAGATAACCAAATGTAATTTGAGAGTATGGACTGGATTGGTTTTTTTAACCCCCAACAAGCTAAACCATCTCCAACTTGATTTTAGAAGCAACTTATTTATGTGGAGAAACAGAAACATCACAGATTTTTCATTCAGGAAAACAAATCCTGGACATAGTTCTGTCATGGATTTCTCACGCAGAGTGTTTTGAATGACAAAAAGTTAAGTGGTAGGAGCTGCATGAAAGAAACCACAATTGGCTGGATTGTAGGAAATCCATAAGAAGCCTTCTCTTACAGTTACAACTTTTGCTGATGCCAATGGAAAGCCTATTCATTTAGGAATATGGCCTAACATATATCTCATCTTCAGCTAGGTAGAGAAGAAATGGATACTGAAATGACTTTAAAGCTCGGAAGGGTGGAAAGTGAATCATCAAATATAGCACTCATCAAAAAGAGAGATAATCCTCCACTACCAAAGGTGAGCTGGAAGATCCCATAGTAGCACTTCTGCACTCCCAGGTGTGTGGTAGTCTCTCAGCAGGAAAATCCCAACTGCACAGCAGAATTAGTACCAAATTTGCACACAAATACTCCTTCAATACAGGAAAATGGCTAAAAGCCACAAGAAACTCAGAGAGATCACTGTCTGTATCAAAAGCAATGTTTTGCCACCATTTACAAAGAGAGATAATAACATCCAAGTGCCAAGTCCCTTGCTTTTGGTGGAACACAGAAGAAATGGAGCAAGTTTCTAAAGCCCTCACATAGAAAAGGCAGAGCACTAAAAGTGTTCTCCAGCACATCTCGCATATTAGACATATCCCTCCATAAACACCAAAGATCCACATTTCTCAATAAAAATTATCTTTCCCATATTTGCTGAGATTTCAGTTTCCTGGGAGTCTGTTGTACCAGCTCTCCAGCCTTTCAGCAAGGTTTAATTAAAAACCCAGTGCTCCTAAAATTAAGAAGTAAGATAAATGTATAAATCTTGAGATTCAGTCATAAACCCCCTTTACATCATAAGAGGAGAAACAAGGAAAAAAACCAAGGTCACAAGTATCCACCCACATTTTTGTACATACCCTACATGTTTTCCCTTCCAAAATACCCCAGTACACTTCCCCTTGATTATGACAGCTAATTTGACTACAAATAAGACCATCTGTTTTTGGCTTTATCCCTCCCAAAATTAAAATACCAATAATTTGTGGTGTGCTTCATATTTTTGCTTTTACATCCTGCTCAACTCATTGCTGAATGTACACACTGCAAGAAAATGAGCTACCTCCTTCCAAAGGAAAGCATTATAGATATACTGACTTGTAAGAGCCAGGACAAAGGGTGCCCTGTGCTGACAGCAGTCTTGACTCCCTTGTTATTGTACGGGGTATGGTTAAATACAAACCAACTCACAGCCACCTCCACTATGAACTTCAAAACACGAGCTGCTACTGAAGAGACATGGGTATGTTACAAGGTCAGAAAAATCGCACATTTCAAGACAGTGTCAAATCTACTCTTCCCCTGCTGGCAAGCAGCATGTTTATGGCAGACCTGAGTATGGGAATTATTTCACACCCTTACATACTTAGGGAAGATATAGGCCAGATGACAGAAAATACTCTGAAACAGCACAGAATTGGCAATCTCAAGATATTTACAGGCAAAGAAGCATATCGCACCGAAATTGAAGTTATTGCTTCTTGTGGACAAGTGTGGTGTTCCTTGTTTGAGACACAGGACTTGTTTGGTGTTTATTTTTCCCTTCTGAAGCACAATGAGTTGACACCCCTGTGAGGACATTTTCAAAATGAAGGTGTTGTCTGTGACTAGAGCTGTGCCTACAGCATGGTCATCACCAGCTGATGGTGACAGAAAGCTTACCTAGGTGAGTTTCCACTGGTGTTTTCAAACCCAAGCATCACTCTCATGCTTCCAGGGTCATTCCAGGCTTGGTCTATCTTACAGGTTTTGATACAAGAAAACCTCCCATTGTCTTTCAGAAGAGATTTATGGATACCAAGAACATCAAACTAAAGCTGACCTTGTATCAGTTCCTCAAATAATCCAAGGAACTGCTGCTCTACTGTGCTGAAGCTGATGGAAGCTTCTGTACTCTACTGTACTCTACTGATGGAAGCAGCCATGGACTCTTGCCTGCAAAAGCTTCACCAGTGCAATAGCTAGTGACCTGCTTTTCCAACACTGTTCCTAAACATGGAACAACAGTTCCAACTGCTGGGCCTTTAAATCAGCTACTTCCATCTGAATACAGAAGCTGAAGGGTTTTGAGGAAACAGTAAGTGAACTAGAAGTATGAACTACCAAAACTGAGCTCAAGTTGTACACAGATTTATGTTTCTTGTATTTACGTACTTAACCCTCAAGCCAAAGACTATCTATGACCTCAGAGCACAGGACATCAAAACACCGACCTACCCCCTTTACATGGCTACAGGTGAGTTTCTGCAGGCATGAAGCCAACAGTAAATATTAAATCAATGCAAATGGAAAACTTTCAGAAGATATCAGGAGTTTAAAACATTGGGAAAATGGGCCTGCAGGCAACACCACTATTTGAGTATCACAGGTGCTGTAGTTCCACATCCCCTCCCTCCCTCCCCCAAGATAATACAAGGCAACACAAATATTCTCGTCAAAAAAGGACTCTGTACAGGGAATGACTGTACATTTGATGTGACTACAGAATCGAATGTGTGACAAAATGATTCTGCTCCCACTGAAAAAGAGAACTCAACAGGGCCCCATAGCTTATAGGTTCAGCTGAAACCAGTGATGCAAGCCCAAAAGTATAGAAACTGCACTGGCAATTATGACAATTATCTAGTTTGGACTCCTTTAGATTTGCAGCGTAACAAAGGCATTTTACAGAGCAACATTCAGGAGAAAATGTTATCCAGGGAAGAACTGCTACTCAAGCAAGATGGGAGAGTTTAAGAACATGAACTGCATTTCTTCTCCAGATAGCGGTAGTTGCTCCTGTTCTTTGCTCTTTTTGATATAAATCACAGCAGCAACAGAGAGAAATGTGTATTTAAACAAAACAAACAAACAAAACAAAAAAAACCAGAACCCAACCAGAATTATTTATGTACAAGAAAAAAAGTCTGAAGTGTTGTGCAACTTATTTTAGCTTTGAAACTCACTAAGAATACTGTTGCTAATAAATATTCATAAACTCTTCCCTGTGCTGTGAAATTCAGAAACTACTACAATTAATTCTCGATATAAAAAGTATGCTTCTAAACCCTGATATCTGTTCCAGTTCATTGTCTTTAAAAAAAAAAAAATCAATTTTAACTGTGATACCTTGTGGGAACTAATACATATCCACAGTTTTACTTGGTGTATCCACCCAGAGACAACCTGTGTTTTGTGGAGCTCTGGTATACCAATATAATACAGTAAAATAATAATAAATTAAACAAATGCAGATGAATTAAAAAAAAAAAAAGGAAAGATAGAAAAAACCTAAACTAAACAAAAACCCACACTGTCAAATGGTGGTCTCCACACGAAGACACCAAGGGTTTAGATGCAATGTACTAAAGATCCTGCGACCAAAAAACACATTCAAACAAGGAAACATGAACTTGTGCATGTTCGAAAAATAAACACAAATCCCACCTCGATGTAATCTCGCCCATGCCTATAAAAACCTCTCCCCATGCCCACACTTGCAGTTATTCATTTACACCTCAGGAGGCAGCCTGGAGATGAGAGTAGTACAATAAAATAATTACCTGAAACATCTTTAAAAAAATACCCGTTAAACAAATTACCTTAACTGGCAGCACTTAAAATTGGTAATTCATTTCTTTTTCCTATTTTAAAAAAAGTTGCATAGCTGTAAGATTTTGCTTTGCTGCATTTCTTTCTGTCATTTTGACTCATGAGCAATAAAAGAGACGTTTTAGTTACTTAAATAGCAATACAATGTGCAGATTTCAACAATCTCTATAGCTTGATCAATACAAATTAGTTACCTGTCTTGGTTTTACTCTTTGGACTGCATTGTGACAAAGGTTTAGTTACAAAACTTTGAAATACAGTATTCCTACACAGAGTGGGTTATGTTTTCTGTTCTTGAAAAAAGTGAAGAACGTAAAACAGGGTGTGAATTCAGTAAATTAAGGTCACACTGTTAGATTTTATTTAGTTTGCCATGTACTGTTCTTCAGCCAACGAGAAGGTGAAAACGTTCCCACTCCGATCTGGGGCCGTTCCCCTGTGAGGGTCTCAGAGAGCACGTATCGAACGTCTCCACTTCCACTGGAGGCAGTAGGAAACATGTCCAATAACTCGCTTCTTCACAGAACCAGAAGTTAGGCTGAAATTTGGAACTTTGGCCTTCGATACAAAACAGTGTCAGTAATGTCTCTGGGGAGTCGATTGTTACAGGATGTGCAGCATTTTCAAAATCCCTGTGTGTCCTTTGCATGAGTGTTTGGTATACTGAGCACTACTGTCAAGTAACGGTGTCTGCAATGCTTTCTCCGTGTCACTGTCCATCTTTGCCTTTTTCAGTCACAAAGAACTAAGTCTCAAGCCAGGCACGCTGTGTTCAGCAAGAAAACCTCACATCTCCTATGTTTTCTGATCAGTGGAAGCAGCTGTTGGAAAAGCAAAGGAGAAAATACCATTATTTCCGTACAGAAACCATTCAAACAGCATGAGCACAACAACTGAGTTTTCCTCCCCTTTTTTCCTAAGTCCCTAGTTATCACCATCCCTGCTATGGAAAAAGCAAATAGAATTTAACATGAGGCTGGACAGCCATGAGCATGTACATAGACACAGGTGTTCATGAACAGCATGCAACCTTCTGCCACAACCAGAGACTGGGGGCAATACAGGAAATGTGTTTGGTTATTGATTTTGGCTAACACTTCCCTGAGATCAAAACAATTATCTCAGTAGCAGAATATCTTCCTTGAGGTTTTCTTTGCTAGCCCTACAACATAGACACATGAAGCAACATGAAAGAAATGCACAAATAAATGCTAGTCATGAATACTTCAGATTTTTTTTTTTAATTTCCTTCAGAACAACAAAACCAAACTCTCAGCTACCAGATAGGATTTCAGATATCTCGATTTCTCTAAGAATTATGATTGCTGGTGTGCTTTGCAATGCTTAGGGGCAATTATTTAATGTAACCTAAAGTTTCTGAGTCAGTCAACTAAAGAATAAAACTTTCAGGTTTTAACACAGATTGCAGATCTGCAACCATTAACACAAAACATAAGCTGGAAAATGCAAACTTCTGTGAGATGGGATAGAAACATGTCAACATTTTTTATTTATTTATATGCTTTAAACATTCTGGAATGCATTAACATTAAGGTAGTTTTGAAAATACCTAGTTTCAACCTTTTCATATGATTCCAAAAGACTTCTGTCAGAAATACATGTCAGTACTCACAGAACAATCCAAAATGACACAGTTGTATTATTTTAATTTTGTTTCATTTCTATGGAAAAATCCTTTTAGAAAGTTAATGCTAAAGGTTTCTTGACACTGACTTGCCCCTTTCCAGTACTAAAACTGGAAAGACCATGACATGCAAGGATGTAGAAACCTTCTGCCTATATTGCAATATACATCAATTCTTACCGATTAATATCGTCGTTCTGAGACACAGTAGTAAATTCACAATTAAAAAAAAAATAGTACAGTTACTTCAGGTAGTCAAGATATTTATTGTCGGAACATAAATAAACATTACCTAAAAATATGAATCTTGTCTTAATCTGATGGATGCTCAGGGCAAGATCTATTTACTTCAAACCATTCATCTATGCAGCTGTTGGATACATGACAAAAATGAGAACAATTGACATGAATACAAGTAATATTTAGCAGTAGGATATGAATATAAATTGGTTTCTCCATTTCAATGACTAGTAGAATTTTATATTATACAAAGAAGTATATGCATATACACACATCACTGGAAAAATTAATAACCCCAAACCCCAGTAATACTTGGGTATTAAACAGTGTTGAAAACCTAAATTTCTTAAGTGTTAAAATTTTCCAGGGAAACATTTTACAAATTACAGACTTCATACACAGGTTAATTAGCTACTAACATCATCTTGCTTCTATCATTCACTGACATTTTACTTTCTGTAAAGTACAGACACTTATGAAAAAAACAATATGAAAGAGGTTAAAAAACCAATTCCCTCCCCCCCCCCCGCCCAACTCTATTAGCATTTGACGAAACTTAAGCCCACATGACCGAACTCCTCAGCCATGATACACATCCCTTCCTCATCCAGGTGATTCTCCAAGAATGAGGAGTTTGTAGCAGGGAACATGAACTTCAAATGCATTTGGTATAGATGCAAAAGATGTAATTTAAAAAATGCCTTTAAAGCTGCTACTGCTGTTTCTTTGTTATTTTTAAATGCAAAAAAGCAACTAACTTTAAGCACGTCTTTAAGCACCCCTCAAGAAGAGTTACCCATAAATGCAACCTTGTGAATTTTACATCCATCCTAAGGAATACTTGCCCTTTATGATATATGCAGAGGCAAGGCAGCCGTGCTATAGTATCTCCTTGCTGCAGCTCTTCCAGGCATATTGCACACTCCCCAGCATCTTTACTCAGCACATCCTCTGGGGAAAGAGCACAAAGTGAAAGGGTTAAGAATCAGACTACTACAAGCAAAATGTTCTTTATTCAGAACATCAAGGACAGCTATTGAAGAAGGTATTTTTTGTCCTGCAGAAAGGCAAGGATCAGTGACACACCAACTGATCGAAGATTCATTATGAGAACCCATGCTCAGTTTTCAACTTGGAAGTTAAGTTGAAGCCTGAATGTAACATTTCTCTGACAAGGCACTGTAGGTAAACAACTAGGTAAAGCTCTTCCTAGCTTCTAAACACTTAGCCTGTCATTTGATTTTCCTACTCTCCTACTCATCTCTCTTGTATACATCTGGCTTTCTACCACCAGCCTTGCTGGTAACTCATATTTCACACCTTCAACTTCTTCTCACCACACTAGCATGTTCTACAACCCATCCACCTTTTTCTCATTGTAAAGTGTGAAACTGCCAACTGTAGGAATGTGAGATTTCCATGAAGGAAAGGTCGCTGCTGTATAGCTCCAATGAGTCCTGGAGACTGAATTTTTTGCAGCATTACCAAGTCTGAGAAAAAAGGAGGAAAAAGTAAATTACTAGGAATGCAGAAGAGTTGGCTTTCACTAAGAAGTTTCTGGGAAAACATATTATTTTTAATAAAAACCTTCTCTCTTGGACACTTCTCTTAGCCAGAATGTGGGATGCACAATTCAGTCATAGCACAAACAGAAGATCACATAAAGCCCTGTTTGCCAGATGCAGATTAGAAATCCCTGTTAGACACAACCTCACACTCCACAGGGCACTCCCAACAAGAGACCACATAGCAACCAAACTGTCAGATCAGAAAGGTGCACTCTTGGCAAAGTAAGTCCACATGTTCAAGTTTCCATGGTTTCATGGGAAAAGCTTCCTCTTCATTGCCAAAAGGCACCTTGAGTGATTGCTTATGGAGAGTACCCTTTGCGGCTATGACTGAGAAACCAGCAGCTCTGTGCTGTTTTCTCCTGTGGCTCCATCACCACTGGCATTCCAAATACAGAGAATGACACACTACTAGAAAGCTACCATGGCAGCAAGAAAGTAAAAGGAAATTAGGTCTACATTGTTTCCATTAAATGACGGTCAGCTGTCTTGCAGGTGCTTGAGGTTCTAAAGCAGTGCTTATTTCAGTCTCCACTACATTCATTGGTTATTCTAAAAATCCTGCCAAAATCTAAAAATAATGCCATGTGTGTAGCACCATGATGAAGATGTGAAAAATATCTTGCATGAAGTGAACTATTATAAAGAAAACTATTCAAACAAAAATATAAACAATATACATCCACCACAACAAAGAAAATTTTAAAATGTATTTTAGGCACAGTAAATGCCTGTTGTTCAATCAGAAACTGTAAGCTTCTCAGAAGATTAGAAATACTAGGGAGACAATGTAATTTAAAACAATAGAAAATATTTTAAGAACTCTTACCTGTCAACTTGCCCAGAAGAGGGTGCTAAGGATAAATACTTCCTTGAGGTTGGATTTTGGTATTTGATTGCTTGGGGTTTTTTAATACAAAGGTATTCTAATGTCTGACCAGGAGGCAAATACTCTCCAGACACTGTCTGGCTACAGAGATATCAATCTTTGTCTGATGCTGTCAGACTTCATCCTCCTAGACCACCTCTTTGCAAAACTTTACAAGAACTCCTGTGAGCAGTTCTCTTCTCACAGTTAGGTTGTAGGAAGCAGCACCATTAATAATTCAAGCATGTATCATACATACAGAGCATACTTAATAAAAGTAACTTTTTCCACAGAGTCCCTTTATCAGATCAGCAGCTGCTACCCAAACCAAAATGGGACTAAGATACCTCTAGTGAATTAAATCCCAGTCTCACTCCCTCAAGCACTCTCATGAGGGAAGCATTTAGTCAAGCTTTGATAAGAGAAATTGAAAAGCTGTCCGATAAAAACACAGTTTATAAAAGAAAGCATTCCTGTGAACAGCTTTCCCATCGTTCTCTATTGTACATGCCTGGCTTATCCTGCACTCCCCAGACTGCACAATGCTTGGGTCTGAACTCCCACTGAGCAATTTAACAAGGTTCTGCACCTTTTGGCTAACATTAGGGCGTGATGCCAATTCAAACAATTTGTACCTCCCACCAGCCCTGGCGTAAGTGTCTGACACTCCTTTTATTTTCCCTCCAGTACTCCTGTACTCTCCCTTTTGCCAGTACTGGCCCTCCTGCACAAGTCCCTGGCAAACAGCGTGCTGCCCTCCCTGGCTTCACCCCAGGCTTTCCAACTGGGACAAGGCGCCAGGCACACACTGGGCTCTGCCCAGCCAGGCCAGGGGGAGCTGCTGCTGGCACAGACCAGACTCAGAAACACAGTGCAGCTCTGCCATCCCTGCAGGAGAGGCTGTGTTAACAGGTCTCCATGCTCCTCTTCCTCTGGAATAATGAGGAATCAGCATTCCCTACTTGTGCAAACCTCATGAATCCTACCTAAGGCTCTTGTGCATAAATACTGAAGGTACGAGTGCAAAAAAATAACTGCCCTAAATGCCCACGTGTAACTTGCACATTAACATACTCCAAACCCATATAATTAAGCTTGTAGTTAATTACACACGTAGAGTGATGACAGCAAAACCAATCCTTCACAGACTTATGACACCTTAGATCTGACTACCTTTTGACCATTTTAGGTTATTTGGATCATCAATCTCAGACAAAGAAAAAGGAATGAATAATCCAGTTAGACCCGGATCTGGTCAGAATTTGTTCTGCACTCTCCTACACCAACACTAGCTTGTATGAGATGCAAGTCAGTTTAAGGGCCATTTAACAATGACTTAAACATACCTGTTACAGAAAAATCTGTATATCATTTTGCACAGAACTACTGCAGTCTGAAGAGGTTTTTTGTTTTCACCTTTTTCCTGCAGCAGAGTGATTCAGCAGATACATTTTATTTTAAAAATTTTCCCTTAAAAAACCCAAACCAACAACAAAACACACAAACCAAAAGAAGGAGTAGCTTAAAACTTCATCAATTTTATGATTAAAACATTTATATCAGTGTATTACCTAAATGAGAGTGGGAAGAGGAAATAAGCCTCATTTTTCCCTTTCGCCCACATGTGGGGACACAGACAAATACCACACCCCCACATCCCAGTGCACTGCCCTCATAGGAGGTAAACACTCCTCCACCTTCCCAGCTACTTGAGCAAGTACTCACTAGCCAAAGACTGGTGTTAAAGATGAAATCTTGCAAAAGAGCATAGCATTTCCCTCCTGAGTCTGCTCAACTACTTCTTCCTCTTCTCCTCTATCCCTGGTTACTACTGTTTTAACTTGGGGTTGTCAGTAATTTTTCCTCCTAAGCTTCTGCTTTTATCTTGACTGGAAAATAAATTCTGTGGCATTTCTGCATTTATAGCAAAATAGGTAGTAGAGGATTTGCACATACTTTAGCATTTAAAAACTTTTCTTAGAACTTTTGAAAAGGCATCTAATAATTATGAAAGCCACTAACTCAGCCATGATTAGGATTATAGGCAATATCTGTGATTAAAGTGTCTTTCAACTGAGGACTGCAAAAGTGTATGCACTGCATACCTTCTGGATAAGGTAATTAAAATCTGTGCTGATGCTTTTTGTTTTGCCTTTTAAAACACAGGCAGATATAGCCCTAGGCTCAAGAAACTTGAAGTCACAAATCATGGAGATGTCAATATATTTTGGGAGCTATCACTTTATGGCTGCAGTATTTTACTTCACTCTGGGCATTCATTCACTGGAAACAGAACACTAAGTTAGAAACACCTTGACCCAATTCAGATTGACAATTTTTGAAAATGTCTGTATTTTTTTTTAAATTTAAAACCTTAAACATCCATGGAAGCTGCCATCACAAGTAGCTTACTAGTGAAGGACACCACAAAGATCAACCCTTTCAGGAACACTGAAACTTAATTGAAACATATCTTTTGAACAGCATTGACACTAAAATTGGTTAAACATCAGCCATTAAAAATATTGATGAAATTTTATTAAATAGTACATATTACCATGTATCTGTTTTGAAGCTGATGACTAAAAACTGTCCTAGTAAAGTACTAGAGACTGTCTCTGCTTGCTTTTAAATGGAGTATGCAGAGCTCTAGACATCTAGAAACCAATATACTTGTTCACATGTAGAGCTTGAATTCATCCATATTGCAAAATTTACAATTTTGCTGATATCACAAGGAGTCAAGGAGGACCTACACATTTCTACAGGTACCTTACTATTCAGCAGCCAGGAAATATGTGTGTATGTGATTACACACTTATGTTACTGACTTAATTTACTAAATCTTTATGGCTTCTGTCACATCTGTTTTTCTCCCTCTCCATTTCTTACTGTTTCCTACTGTGCTGTTTCTTACTATGCTTTCCTCCTCTTCACACTCATTTTCCTTAAAATGTGTTTTCTCTAGACCTGGATTTTCTACCACTCCTCCTGCCCTCCATCATCTCATTCCATTTTCTGCTGCAAATCAGGCACTGGAGGAAGGAGGAAGAGAGAAATATTTTAAACTATCTGATACAAATAATATGGACAGCCTTCTTATATGGGGTTAATGTCCTTGGGAGAAGTAGACACTGGAATGGAAGGAAAACTACTATGCACAGGAAATGCTTTTCTCATGTAGCTCAGCGACTGAGCTTTGCAAACTGGTACTGACTGCAAGCAAAACCTGTCCTTCCCAGTGCACCCTAAGCACTAGGAGAACCAGCAGTTTCTTTGACATTACAGCTGGTTTTTAGTATTCTGGCTGCCACAAGAGGAATACTCTTGATTCTCTAGGGATCGTTCTTGGATGACCAGGTCAGCCATCCACTGCTGCTCAAAAGTTGAGGCAGAAAGACACTCTGAAGGAAAGATGATTCTTAAGTGCTCAGAGCTCCCAACAGAAGGAGGAACATAATTCAGTTGTCACTGCTTATGCTTATTTTGCCACTCAGCTTTCACAGCTACAGGGT